ACATCTGAATGTTCGCAGACTACATCTATCTATTATACAACTATGTACCTCTCTGATTATAACGCGTAATGTTGGGTATTCTCTAAAGGTGTAAATCCCTGGAGTAGTATTAGTTACGGGGCCCCATTTCCGATGAATGGGGTGCCAAGGCAGGGTTATTAACTTCAAGTTAAAAGAAAAACCATCCAAATCGGACAAAAACTGAGTGAGTTTTAGCTTGTTGAAGTTAAATAACTTCAAATAGCTCTAGCTCCGTCAGTTTTAGTCTAATTTGGCTGATTTCTTTTCCCAGCTAATGAGATTAACCGAGGTTACTTTGTCCCCGCTCCTGAGAAACGGGGCCCATAACGAAGCCTAACCTGGAGACCCTAAAAATCACTACACTCTCTTCGTTAATTACAATATTGCTAACTAGGAACTACACTGCCCCCAATAGTAATTTCCCAATTATCTGAGTCTTTAGACTTGTGGCCCAGTTCTCAAGTAAAAAGGAGTTGGCCAAAATTGTCTCAATCATTGATGAAATGATCAGCTTCATCTACGGGTTGTATCTGCGGAGGTAGTCGTAATTATAACCTTCCTAAGTCACCTGACTTCAAATCCTCATGCTCTGTATCCAACCATCGGATATCTTCCAAATAACTTCCTACTAATTCACAGGAAGATATTCTACCAGATTGACAGATAATCATCCCTCTGTCAGCAAATCTTGGTTGCTCTGGGTAACAGGACTTTAATCACAATTCTTGTATTGAGAACCATTCCCGTAACTACAGTGCATTCTTGAACCCAGTTGTAATACTCCATGAAGTCTATTAGCTTCTGTGGTAGTGTTCCTCAAAGTTCTAGACTCTTCCAGTTATCATAGGGTAGATGTGAATGTATTAGCTTCTTGTTGAGTTCCTTTAATATTCGATACCATATCTTTATGTGAAAACGTCCCTTTAGTTAAGGCTCATACCACAGATGTCACATCTTTGAAGTCTAGTAGCTCTTAGAGCATTTAACAGATATACTCCGTTCCACATTTCAGACCTAGCTGAAGGTCCCCTCTCATATATCCCATAAACAGGATCCAGTCACAAGGACGACAACGACGTATACAGTGTTATTCTGACACCTTCAATTCTGTGGCCATATAGTGACAGGATATAACAAAGATAGATATCTATGATGATGTACGGGCCCAATAAGGGGACTGGAGTGGGGTGTTGGAGACAAGGAATTCTAATTCCAAGTTGAGTTACCCTACCTAGGATGGTTCATAGGTATCGGATCCCAGTATTCCTAGTAGTTTGGCATATTGATTGAGAAGTATTATCTCTTTTCTTTTCAGAACAAGTGCAGGGAGACAACTACCCACAACTTGAGTGGTTCTCTCTCACTTCTTTTTGCTTCATCTCACACTTCTGATATTTATCTTTAAAAAATCTGACCAATTTTCTCTGTTCTGTAGGAAGTATTTCATAGATAGTAACATTGAAAATTTTTCATGCAAACAGACACTAGAATTTAGGGACTTTTAAAGTCAGAAAAGAGTACATATGAGAATCCTAGAACACAAAGAGGGAAAGTCCATAGAACAAAATCAATCCTCTCTGAGGGATAGAAATTTTAGAGACTTGGAAACATCAAAGAGTAGAGTTAATGGAGGTTATACTATAGAATGTACTACCTAGGTATGATAGTAAGTATTTAAAGAAGTTTTATTTTTCTTTACTCATAGGTACTAGTATATCCGTAGGATGAAAAGAAATAAAACACTTGAAGGTCAAATCCTATAATTATATTAACTGAGAAAAATACTCACCTTTTAACAGAATGGCTTAAGATATTTAGGTATTGACTAAAATTGATTTAACTCTATTTCAAATTATTATGAAATGTAATTACTTTAAAATGTTCATCTTATATAGTTTTACAATACTGAACTTTGTGTATATTGTACTCTCATGTTACTTTCTGCTACGATACTTGATTTCAGTGGCAACTTATTAATTTATCATGGTTGTACAGTACTAGGGGAAATTGTTTTATCCGATCAGTAGTAACTGAACAGCACCTCAACAAACCCCATCCTACTGATCAACTACCCCTTAACAACAATGCCTTCTGAAAAGACTGGCCATCTTTCAGACTTTGAGAAAGGGCAAATTGTTGCTCTGAAAAAAAAAAAAGAATTCTCTTTAAACTGTTTAAAGAGTACAGTTTTCAGTTTTCATAAGTGCTATCAAAAGAGAAGTGATGAGAAATGCCTTCCAACACCAGGAAGATACAAAATTATTGATAACAGAACCTGCTGCTACCTAGCCAGAGGGTCCAAGAAGGCATGCCACCAAACTCTATTAGAATTGGACAAAGATGTTGTATAATATGCCTCTCTGAGTACTGTCAAGAAAGCTTTAGCAGCAGTCAATATAAAGAAGTAGAGAGTAAGGAAGAGAGCTCTTCTGGACGATGAGCATGCTGTTAAGAGATTAGCCTGGAATATAGAATATAAGGATTGGATAAAGGAGGATTTTGAGGGTGTCATCTTCAGTGATAAATGCATGGTTGAAATGTCCAAAGATTCTAAGAGTATTTGGATATTCAAAATACCTGAGGAAAAGTGGTACAAGGACTCCATTCATGAAGTTATAAAAGGTCCTGAGATAAAGCTGATAGTATGAGCTTCTATTTGGGCTAAAAATAAAGGTCCTCTGATTCCCATTTTTGAGAAGAGTATGAACAGATTTGTATATATTGGAGTTTTGGAAGATGGTTTAGTTGATACCTGGCAGGAGGTGGAGGACACAGTTGGGGATCCTATATTTCAGCAGGATGGTGCAAAGATATATACTGCAAAGGATACTATGGCTTGGTTTGAGGAAAACAATATACAGATCAAGGAATGGCCACCCAATTTCCCTGATCTCAATCCTGTTAAGCACTGTTGGAAGAGGGTAAAAGAAAAGCTACACCAGAGCTTTCCTGACATTCATAAGACTAAGAGTGGTCCAGAAACTGGTAGAAGACATTTAGCAGAAGCTTTTAATAAGGTTTAGACTCAAGATATAGAGGGAGATTTTTTGGAAAGCCTGTGGGAGTCTATGCCTAAAAGAGTGGCCGCTGTTTTAGATGCAAAGGGATAGTATACAAAGTATTGATTTTTTTATTCTATCATTTTACATGAGAATTTTCTATTGAATCTCTAACTAAATTTTCACTTCATTCTGGGTAGTTGTGGTTGCCTAGGTTGTATATTTATAGTGGTAGTGGAGTTGTGATTGCATTGCTGGACGAAACGATTTGACCTGGTACTTTAGTACAATACCATAACAAAAGTGATCATTTGCTATCTTCATACCAAACGCAGTTGTTTTTGTAACAATGCAACAATGGCTATTTTGATTTGATTTCAAGTAATTGGTCCTGAAATAGATTTCACAACAACTTACTTTCAGTGAAATCAGATCCGTCTTACATCATTAGTCAGGCTATGAAAATAGAAATTTTCAAAACAAGTCACGTTTTTCTGTAGGTCTCCATAAAATTTTTGAAGCTTAATACAAATATTTAAAAACCTTGAGCCACTCTCCTTCTTGTGGAATGGCCAATTCCCAATTAATTGCAGATAAAGAGACATGAATCCAATCTCCAGATTACTGGCTACCTGTAGCTATATTTTGGTGGTAATAGTTAGTATTGAGGTTCTTGAGTCAGTGAGGATTTAGTTGGTGTTAAATTTCGCTGATTTTGATGTGTTTTCAGTGGCACCCGACCTGACTGACGATGATGACTTATGTCCAAGAGCCATACTTAAGTAATATAGAACAACCAAGATGCCAGATAGTCTCTTTCTGTGGAACGGTGGTAATGGAGTATTGTTTACCTGGCAGAGAAGCCTAGGCCTAGCAAAGAATCGCTGTGTAACTGGGCCCCAGATACTCTTACACCCGAGTACAGTACAGTACTATACCATTCCGTTCGTAGATTCTTATTTCTTGGAAAGTTCTTGGTTTCTTTCTTCCCTTCTTGTTTTGGTTATACTGTTTTTTCATTTTTTTTGTTCATTAAGCTTCACCGTGAGGTCTGCTAGAACGCGAATAATAAATGACTAGTTATTAAAGCCCAATCAACATCAAATTCCTTGAAAATTCACCTCTCGCTATCCTGTAGCGGTTGGATGAAGAGAGCGACTAGGCTTGGTATTGGCTTGGCGACAGAATTCGGATTCGTATAGACATCTCAAGGACCAAACTCGAAGGGCGTCTTCAGAGGGACGCCCGAACGAAATTACTACTACCCGACCCCCTTGCCCCAGACAACCCTTCGAAGGCCACTCGAGTAAATATCCAAAGCAAGACAAAAACAAATTTCCTCGAGAGTCGCGATATCCGAACACTCGAGAGGTGTCGTCGAGTGAGCGAAATAGAGTACAAATTACCAAGAGCCACAACTTCCAAATTAACCACTTCCCCTAACCCAATGAGAGAGGATGCGATAGCCCCCAACAAAAACTAAGGATGCAGTACCGAGTGATGTCTGATGAACCAGGACACGCAAACTCTTTTTTTTTTTTTTTTCTCTTTCTCGGCTGCGCGTGCCAGCCAGCGTGCTCGTCCAAGCATTGTCCTCCACATAGATCACTCCACAATCTCACTTCAAGGCAGCCACCATGCCTTTTTGCTCACGGTAATTTACAGGATCGCTTTGCCCTTTTGGTTATTTATGGCGGTTACGCTCTCGCCTGCTCAACCGATTGGCGGCAGTTTCCAGGTCTGTTATTGATGGCTTGCGCAGATCCAGGAATACCCCTAGCAGTTCGTTTTCACCAACGGAGACAACCATTGTAACACAGCCAGGTTGTGTTCTCCACCGGCCAAGCCTTTTTATCGCTATGTTGATCACTCACGCACTCCAACTCGCCCACGAAAAAACATTGGCGAAGAAAGAACAATGCTACAAGTGCTGTACCAGGCTCTTGCCACCCTTACTTTCGCGAGTCCTTGGGGAAGGTAGGTGTACTCGAGTACAAGTACAAGTACGAGTACTAGGTCCCGGACTGGGACAGTGCTAGCACTCGAGTTCAGCCCGAATATACAGCCCCACCAACCACCACCCTCCCGTATCTGGTAATCAGCTTCCGCCAACTTCCTAAATCACACGTTACACACGACCAGTTCCCGATTATCCATCCTTGCTATGGTTTATGGCCCCTTCCCCAACCAGAGCTTAACCTTCTTTTCTGCCAACGAGGTAGACTATATAAAGTCGAGGCTATCGCCCATGTCCATTCCATTTCGACATTGACTTTGCAGTCTCTCTCCCTCGCACTCACCTCCCCCTCCCCGCAACGACTCTTATAATCCTTCGAAAAGAAAAATAATAATAGTAATAATGAAGATTCTCATCCTCGCCGCAACCCTCCTCCCCTTTCTCACTTCGGTCGCTGCTCAAGCTCCCCGCTATGCCGGTTGCTACCGCACGGCGGGCGGCCTCATCCGGGTGGATTCACAGCGCCCCAGCTGTGCCGAGGCTTGCACTGACGCTGGCAACGCGCCCATCGGAGCGCTGACCAGGACCAATGAATGCTACTGCGGTACCACTCCGCCACGCGACGAAGATCGAGCCCCGGATGCCTCGTGTGATTCTCCTTGCCCTGGTGCTCCGGAGTTGGCTTGTACCTCACCCTCATCCCTCTAATCCCTCAGGGTTAATGCTAATAGGGAACAACAGGTGGAAGCAATTCCGGACAATTCTTCTCGGTTTACTTCTGGACAGGAGGTCCTTCACCTTCCTCGGGCGCTAATAACGCGACAGTTTCCTCTACTCGCGGTGGGAACAGAACCTCCACTGGTCGTAGCTCTGGGACTCAGACTGCCACCACTACTGGGGCTACGAAGTCTGGAGGAGCTACCGGTACAGCCTCGGGAGGATCGGCACCGAGCAAGACCGATTCGGAGGGGAGCAGTGCCCCATCCGAATCTACTGGCAGTGGTGGGGCCACGTCGTCCAATTCTGGCGATAATTTGCACATTGGGGGAGCGATGTTGATCGGGGCAGTGGTGATGGGTGTTCTCACCATGGTTTTCTAAGGACGGGGGGGGGGGTTTCCGTGTTGGGGGGCGGTGATTGTTTGTACAGAATTAGTATCGTATCTCTCCGAAGTTTAGTAGTTTTTTTTTAGACAGTCGTATTCGAGATTTCGAAATAATTGGGGAAAATAATACCACTTGGAAATTTTTTTATGCAAAAGTGTATTATCATGTGAAGCAAGTGACATCGAACTGCTCAAATTAAAACCTTGCCAATGAGTTGGTCACGACGACGGCAAGGGAAAGCCTCAATACCTGCCGTACTGTACCTCCACACCTGGTGAATCATATTATTCAAGCAACCTGGAATGTGATAAGGTACGGCACAGCAAAGTGCTTTCTCAAAACGAGGCTGTGCCCAACGACCACCACCACCACCACCACCACCACCACCACCACCACCACCACCAACCCAACCTCCCCAACCAAGCCTTTTCCCCGCCAGCCGTCAACCTGTCTGCTCGATTAATCATATACCTCTCACCCGGTGGACAACCCCCGTCGAATCCCAATTTTCTCAGACGCCGCCACCCTACTGGGTAACACATATTAAGGATATTGCGAATGAGACCGCTTCTCCAAGTCCAGGCTTGATCGTCACTTTTGCGGTCCATCAGGCAATGGGTACAACAAGTACAGTACCTAGTACCCATCTGAAAGTGAGGGGACGTCTGGTTTCTCACACATCTCGGGTATGGATGCTTAGTGACGGGACGGACACGGGTTCAAGTGACCAAAGCTTGTCTTTAGTTACCCTTCCTGGCATCACTCCTACCAGATTGAATTGTCTTTTTTCAGCCCCGGAACTCGAGACTTTTGTCCATCCCATCACTTTAACCCTCCATACCCGAGTATCATACTTTTCCCCTCCAGATACATACTTGGATCGGTACGAGTACTTCCATTTCCTACCGCCAACCTCCCGCGAAAAACAGTAATAATATTAATAGACCCATTACGCGTCCCAGCCGTCTCCACCTACCATACTCCAACAAAAAACTCCACCATCACACAACACAACCCCTCCGGGAGTCCGGCTGCCCCGATTGGTGGGTGATTCCAAATGAGGCTTTATCAGAGAATTGGTGAGCAAAGAAAAATAATTTCCCCCCTCCACCTGTCTTATTAACTAACTGTTTTTGTGTTTTTTCGCTTGAAACTGCTCCTGTCTTTGTTATTGTGCAGTGCACGACGGAATACTCGAGTACGAGTACTTGGACACTGCCAAGGGAATTTTAAAGTTCCTTCAGCCTGACTGAGGGGTGTTGTGTTAGTTATGGATCCTTGGCGGCGGCGCTCCCCGACCTCCCACCAAATGCGGTATGATACTTTATCCACCCATGGCGAGAGAAGCGGCAGGGTCGTCTATCGTGTCATGGGGAAAGCCGAGCAAGGAGAGTTCAGGCCCTTTTAAGTTTTATAATCCGGGGAAGGAAGAATACCAGGATATCGTACGCTAGCGATGGTACTTGTACGAGTACTAGTACAAGTAGATAAGTTGTGGCGAAGAGTTACAAGAGCTGTACGAGTACAGTACTCGACTAAGTTAGAGGAAACTAAACAGATTTACCGGTACGGTAATTCCTGTGGATTAAAGTAGCTCCCGCATAAACTCACTTGATTGGACCTCACGCTAGTATGTTGAAATAAGGTGAGGCGTGAGGAAATTAATTTATCATACCCCCCTAAAAAAAAAGGAGGTTAGAAGACTGTCACGAAATACGCTACGAAATGAACACTTAGGCCCCATAACCCCAAAACCTAACCCGGCCCGAGTTGAGCTGAGCAATAATGTGTTATGATAACTAATTACCCCAGCTACCGTTATTCCTCCAATCACCCCGGCAACCATGAATCAACAACCTCTCTTTCCCCCTTTACCGTGACCAAACCGATATTAACATAATATTATCATACTGTACAAGATAAATTGCGCAATTCCCCCAGAACCCCCCCACAATATCGCGACATATGATAGTAGAATACTTAGCGTAATGTCCGATTGACGGAGTTGATACGGGTGTTCCTGTTCGGAAGGTCACATACAGCTTGTGCTACAATTTCATACAATAAGAAGAAAAATGTGGAAATGAAACCTCAGAAACATGGTTGCTCAATCGGTTTCGAGAACTGGAGTGTCCAATCAAAACCCCGGAAAACCTTTTCGTTCGTTTTTGCAGCGTAAGCTGTATTGTACCACTCGAGTAGGGTACCTCCTGAAGCAATCTCTCTCTCCTATGATACTAGTACAAGTCGAGCTTTCCGGTACTCGTACAGTACAAGTATTTCATATCCCAGCAGAGATCCTCGCCTAGGCGAGTGCTCTCCTTGTGCCGTAATAAACTGTTGGAATCCATTACAACTGTACGAGTACAGTACGGTATTGTGGTACGGTACGATACTCGAACTGGTTATCTAGGGTTCCACCAACACCCCGCAATCTCCTCCAGGCTACTTGTGAGTCCAGGGCGTTTGCACCTCCCCCCCTGGCGTGAGGGTGACGCTAAGATATGGATCCGCCATGTCGAGGAGCTGGCGGTTTCTGGGGGTCGTCGGTCAACCAAAAGATCGTGAGGGATGGATCCGGTATATTACAAGTACTTGCATAATACTGTACCAGGGACATCGGGAACTTAGTCTTATCCCCTTCCTCCCTTCCTAGTCTCATGTCAGCCAATTGTCCCCCTTTTCTTACCCAAGATAACTCTCATCGCTTCTCTATAAAGTATTGATTTTTTTATCTTCTTGGTAAGGGGTTGGCAACCTAGGGCTTTCTTCCTCTTCTTCCTTCTTTCCGTTTTTTCCTTTTTCTGGAAAAGTGTTTCCAACAGGTTCTTCTCTCGCGCCTTCATTGTAAGTCCCTTGCCCTGAGAACTAGCATCATATATTTCCATCCTCACGACGACGTGAACCTCGAGACCAGAGTCGCTGGTATCACACACGCACAAGGCAGCGCGCATATGGTACGAGTGAAAAAGTATGCAGTAAGAAATCGCCAAAACAATTGGACCCAAAATTTTCCATGGCGAATAATCCGTCGTGCATCCAAGCCACCCACCCGCCCACCCACCATGCTCGACTCGTTTTTTCAAATATTCTTTCGGCGCGCTTCTCCAGCAAAGGGGTTTCCTGCAGCAGGTGTCGAGGTACTCGTATGATTGGCGGTGAATGTAATCTAATATCGGATGTTTAAGATCTTGCCAAATGCAATCTCCTTCTTTTTTTTCTTTTCATGATGTGCGGTCAATTACGGTACTGTACTAGTATGATACAGCACTTTTTCCAACCTCTGCATATGTATGTCAGATGTTTAAAAGCTTATGCGTGAGCGCCGGTGGGCTTTCAGCACTTATGCAGCATTATGTTCCTGTATGTTGGTCAGGTTTTCAGCACGTTGTTCTGTAAAAGATGAATTTGACTCTGCGGTGTGGTAATTAATTGGGATCGGTGGCTTGTCGAGAGTTCTCTGGGGCGGGGGGGCGTCCTGTACTGTATTGGGGGAGGCGCTGAGACATTGTTGGATGGGTCGTCACAGAAATCACTTTCACAACTTGTCACTCGATGGGCGGATGGGTGCGTAGGGCGCCACAGTTACTGCGACGCTCTGCAGGCTGCAGCGCAAGAGAAATGGTTTGGATGTGTACAGTGTCTCGAGAGCGCATACCTATTATCGGGTAAGGAATACATGGAAATATGATATCTTATTGTGTCAACTAGGAAACAGTCACAGCAGTCTTGCTTCCCAGTGGCCTCCATCAGTTAGATAAAAGATCCCCTAATCGTGCTGAAGGAACTCGACTTCAGCCTTTGTCAATCCGCTCCTGAAAACACCTGCAGACTTTCATTTCCTAGCCCCCTCTCCTCCGGAGGACCCCGCGCACCCGCCTTCAACAACACCTCCTCCATCTCCTTGTGCCCATTCCTAGTTGCAATCTCCAAAGCCGTGTGCCCTCCGTCCGCACAGACAGCGTGAACATCCGCCCTGCCAGACTCCACAAGCATCCCAACACCCTTCACCCGGCCCATCATCACGCCAATATGCAAAGCCGTGACCCCATCCGCCTCCGAAAAATTGACATCAACCCTAGAATCTCGCAGCAACATTCCAACCACCCCATCGCCAGCGCACTCCATCGCAAGCTTAAGCGAAGCATCACCAGTCCCGGTCGCAGAGATAGCCACGTCCACCTTCTCGTGACGCAATAACTCCCTGACGACCCCCTCGGCATCGCAGCGAATAGCCATCCTGAAGGCCGTCTCCCGGCCCTCGGCGCTGGTGAGCGTGACCAGCGTCCTCGGATGCGTTAGCAGCAGCCGCGCCACCTCCTCGTGCGACTGCTCGACGGCGTGCATCAGCGGGGTCATTCCCCGGACCCCGTCCGCGAGGTTCGGGTCAAGCTCCGGTCGCTCCAATAGCATTCTGACCACCCCTACTCGGCCGTTCGTGGCGGCCGCTGATAGCGGGGTCTGGCCGCAATCGCTGACGGTGTTTACGGGGATGCCGGATTCCACGAGGGTGCTTATTATTGCGTCCTTGAGCATGCGGACCGCATCTACTAGGAATCTACCGCTGTTGGCGGGGGTCGGGGCGCTAATCAGATCGAGGATGCCACGGTGGAGGAGGGCTTGGGTGCCGTGATACTTGGAGCGTGTACGGAAGAGTGCGTCTATTGGCGCGGTGGCTAGGAGGTCGGAGAGGCGGCGGTTGCATCGTGGGAGGTACGCGACGCATGGTGGCGGGAGGTGGGTCGTTATTTCTAGGACGAGCTCGTTCGGTAGGGAGAGGAATGGCATCGTGAACGACCGTAGTGGTATTATGTGATGTTCAATGGTGAGAGGGTGGATTGGTGGTCCGACACTTGGTGGAGCGAGGACACGGTCGTACAGTGCAAGCCCCGGATGTGAAACCACAAGTACTGTACAGTACCCAGCAAGAAGTACCGATACCGTACCTCAACACTCACGCCTGAATTTAGAACTAACGCTCAGACCTGCACAGACAATCCGCTATGCAAATTTCTAATTCCTACATTCAGGCACGGTACTTGCTGGATACAGCACCCGTAGTTTGGGGATCACGAACCTCTCGCCAGCCCTTTTTTATCCGGGATCACATACAATTCAAAGTCTTAGAAACCGTAATTACTCTCCAACTCTTTA